ACATTTGTAATGACCACTGAGAATGTTGAATGGGACTTTTTATCTCATGAGCTAAGAGGGACAGTTTCCACCCACCCTCCTTTTGTTCCATTAGCTAAGATTGAATCACATATCTGGGCTTAAGTCAATCACTGACAAGAGAAACATACCCATCCTGATTGGCTCAGATTACCCAGTGTCCACCTCTTGGGACTGATGGTGTGGTCAATTCCTTGCCTGGAGCCTAGCGGCAGGTAAACAGCTGACCAAAATCAAGGTTTCATTAGAAAGGAGGCAGAATGGTGGATGCTGAGTAAATCTAATACCTAACATTCTGTCTTAACTGTGGGTCAAATAAATGGCTGTTGTTGACCCAAAGCCAGTTTTGGCCAGTAGAGAAGGGTTCTGAGCTCATGGCAGCAGTGGAGTGAGGAGAGGGCCACATGAGGCCACAGGAGTCAGGGCAATGTGGTTACAGCTCACGCCAGCTCTCATTCTCTTCTGAAATAGCTGTCAGTCCTCTACCTGCTTCCCTGCATAACTCCGGGACTTTCTCTCTGATTTTCTATAACCCAGGGAAGATTCTGGTGTGGCAGCAGGTTAGAGAAAATAAAAGATAATACAATGCAATGGACTAGAGGTAAGACAGGTTTGTCAAACTTGAGAGAAAAAGCGCCGTGCCACCCAACATTTTACCTGGGTGGGAATTAGATATTTTTCTTTTAAGATTTATTTATGTATACAAGAACTGGGGTGCAGGCCAGTGGTGCAGGGACAGTGTGTGAGAGAGGATTCATCAGAGACAGAGTGGGGAGCAGAACAGGTGGAGCTACTGAATACACTGCTGAGGGGGGGCAGTTAGCAGGACAGGAGAGGTCTGCCGTGCCATGTGGGTCACTTCCCTGGCCAGGGATCAAACTTGTGCTGCAGTGGCCACAAATGACTTCATAGTGCTGAGACTTAACCCCTTGTGCCACTGGGGGGTGGGTCAGAATTGGATTTTCAAGGAAAAACTGAACCAGCATGCTTAAAGAAGAAATGGCTGAGGATGTGAGATGTAAAGACAGGTGCACTAAGAGGTCAACGTGATCATGGATGGGGACAGAGGCACAGTGCCATTCCGTGGAGTGCTGTATGACTGGCCAGTGATTCATCGAGGGGGTCAGCAGAAATAAAAGAGCAATCGCAGCAGAAAGTAGCAGCCCAGGGTAGGAGCAAGGACTGATTAAATCAGTTACTTCTGATATAGCAGTAGGGCCTCCAGTGTCTGTGGGCTGAAATGCCATTAAGATCATGCTCCAGGAGAATTTTACACTCCGTTGAGTCTTCTTCAGCACTTTAAAAACTAAGAGGAAATAAACATCAAACCCACCACCACTTTACACCCAGTTATCTACGCAGTCCCCTGGAGTCCAGCATGTTTTAGATTATTCTATTTGGTGGTAAGGTTTACTATAGTATTGAAATGAAGACTTGTGCTTTTTAATTTGCAGGAAAGACGCTCCTAGGCTGGGTTCCTCTCCTAGGCTGGGTTCCTCTCCCAAGCAGAACCTTGAATAAGGGTATTCTGTAAGTAGTTCATGGTGGGAAGTGACCTCAGGGCTCAAAAGTGAGGCTGGGAAGAATGACTTAAGGAAGGAGGGTACAAAGGAAAGCCAACCCAGAGGTGCATTATTGAGTGAGTCACCGCTGTGGGCTTGTGGGGCTCAGTCCTTTCACGAACTTTCTGAGGCCTTGTGCACAATGCACCTCAGAATAGAACCAAAGGAGAGAATATTTATCTCCCACTGGTCAAAATTTTCCTGGGGACATTAACCCCCTTACTCAGCCAAGTTTGCCATGGAGCAGAATGACTGCCGAAGAAGGTGCTGTACGCAGCCAAAGAAGGTGCTGGAATGCAAAGAGAGGCAGAGAGCGGTGGTGCCCAAGAGGTGGCTGCTATATAAGGGCCAATATATCACTTAGAAGGTAAGAGGAAACAATCTGGGGAGGGTGTTGTTTTGTTCAAGGGAGTGGTTCTGAATGTGAGGGGGAAATATGGCCCTGTAACCTTTGTGGATATTTTAGTGATGAAAGAGTATATTGGATGGAATTCGGGATTCCAACAGTCACACAATTGGGGTCAGTCCTATCTCTTGGTAAAGTATGCAAGAAAAGTCTTTGAGTACCTGCCATGTCTATGGTCTCCTTATTCAAGAGTGTTCGGAAGTGGGTACTTACTTATTCACCTGCTTTTGTGTTCTTAACACAACAGAGTGGTCCAGGGTTGGTTCTATCAGAGGCCAGCGATCCATGAGTGGGCCTGACCCAAAACCTTTCTGTGGCAGTGTTCAATCTTGGGGACTGTTGCGCCATTTCACAGACCTGTGGTTAAATTTCCCCTTTTCTACTCCTTGCTTAGCTTGTCAACTGGATTCTGGGGCTTGATGGGTTAGAAGTGGAAAGGAAACAGGGAAATGGGTTTGCTGACCATTCCTGCTTGACTAGTCCTTTTGTAAGATAGTTTCATAGGTCCTGAGCCTGGCTGTTATGAAAGCCAACTCTCTTGGGGATGCACTCCTTTTTCATAGATTCTCATCTGGTCTTTTCTAATTTTAATGGTACCAATACACCGGTATCCCTCCTTTCAATCAATTATTTTTTTAAAAGATTTATTTGTTTATGCATACAGAACTGGGCTACAGGTCAGAGGTACAGGGGCTGTGAGAGGCTTCATCAGAGACAGAGCAGAGAGCAGAACAGGCCGACTGACGAAGTACACTGCTGAAGGGAGCAGTGGGCAGGTCAGGAGAGGTCTGCTGCGCCATGTGGGTCACCTCCGGGGTGGGGATCGAACTCATGCGGAAGTGGCTTTAGCTTCTTAGTGCTGTGCTTTAACCCGCTGTGCCACCAGGGAGGGCCCTCATCAATTATTTTTATCTGAAACTGAATTATTTTTATTTAACCAGTGTTTATTGATTTCTTATTTTTTTCCACATGTGCACATATTCCACTCACCCTCCACCAAACCACTCGTGCCCATATCCCATCTGCTCCTCTCCTTCACTCCCTCCTCCCTCTCTCCTGTTACTTGTGATAACTGTTACATTCGTTCACTGAATTCAAGATTTATTCCTACTATAATTTGCCTGTGTGGTTCGTCAATTTTTTTTTAAAGATCAATGTATGTTTTTCTTAATTGTTGTACATTCTTGTACAGTAATTGGTTTCTCTCCTCAGCTGTACACCCCATCATTTTCCTGCAACCATAGCACCCATGAACGGTCACCAGTGTTCCACGTGCTCTTCCCGTCCCTGCTTTGACCCCTCCCCCCTAACTGTATGCCTCGTATCTATAGAGTGCTTGCTATTTTTTTTTCTTGGCCTTTTGTTCAGTTTCTCTGTATCCCACATGTTCTCTATAGTCTGCCTATACAACCATGTGGTAATTATCTCCTACCTTCTGGCTTACTTTGGCCTATGACAGCTTCTGATTTCTGGCTGTCTCTGTGCCATTCCCTGCCTCTCTTCATAAGTTGGATCCAGGCTTTAGATTCCTCAGGCGCATGGAAGCTGTCAAATGTGGGTCTTGAAGCCTCTCTTGCTGGATGAGCAGGTAACACACTCTCTCTCCCGTTGAGGACCTGGACTCAGAGCACAGCAGCTCTCTCTACAGAGATAGTCACACAACTACCCCTTTAAAAACTCCTCACCACTGGTGAAGGGTTGTGACAGAGACGGGATTTCTGGGTCTTCCTGTCCACGTTTCCCAATTTTGCCTATCTCAGATTTGCCTTTTGTTACTGATATGTAATGTATATTGGCACCTCAGTCATACTGTGTAATTCAACAAGATGACACCATTGCAATGTCATGTGGTGAGTGCAGACAAGCGGTCCATGCATGTGGCCCTGGGAAAACAAAGGAAGGGATACCTTGCCTAGCTGGAGGTTTCATGAGACAGAAGACTGCCAGAGAAGGCAATTTCTTATTTGATTCCTCAATGTGCTGAGTTGGGTGGGGGCTACTTTGGACGGAAGTAAGATCAAAAAGACATCTCTGGCAGGTATATCGCATTTTTAGAATTTCAAAAACCAAAATGGTTACATAGAAAGCCTTAGTGAAATTCACTCATTTAGTGTCTAAACTTCCTATAAATTTATGAATGTAAGTATCACTGCAAAAAAATCACAAAACCCTCTACTCTTATTAATCCTGGAAGACTCCTTAAATTCCATTTATGTCAAGTATAATGCAAGGGAGTGTGAGAACGGTCATTTTTTTTTTAAAGATTTATTTTTGCATACAGAACTGGGGTACAGGCCAGAGGCTCAGGGGCAGTGAGAGGCTTCACCAGAGAGAGTGGGGAACAGAACAGGCAGATCGACGAAGTCCACTGCTGAGGGGAGCAGCGGGCGGGTCAGGAGAGGTCTGCCATGCCATGTGGTCACCTCCGGAGCAGGCGGGGATCGAACTCATGAGGAAGTGGCTTTAGATTCTCAGTGCTGTGCTTTAGCCCGCTGCGCCACCAGGGAGGGCCGAGAACAGTCATTTATAGATTTAAAATATATCCTGATAAAAACTGACCTTGAGGGTTGAGAGGTTATAGTACACTGAAATTATTTCATTTACAAAGTAGCTCAAATTGAACTTAATGGACTGTGAAGCTGTAGTTTTAAATTAATGAGTGTACCTAATAAAAAAGCTTTGCATTGCTAAGAAATATGAAAGGTCGACTGAACTAATAAAATTATTTTATTATTTTAAGCATTATTAATATGTCAATTATTTTGACAGATTGGGGGGAGTGAAACCATGTACTCTGACTTCATGCATCCTTATCAGAGCATTATAAATCACTTACCAAATGCTCACACACATGATGGATCACACAATCAAAGTGCATAGATCATGTGGGCTTCAGAGAAAATTGGACTAAATGCTATAAAGTACAATTATATGCCTGACACTGGATCTTCATTTGATCTGTCACAACTCTGAAAGTCACTGCTCAAAAGAAAAAAGACAACAGACATCTGCTCAATCAACTTTATTTTTTAATAACCCAAACATGTACTGACTTTTGTATCCAGACATAGTGGAAGATACAAAGTGAAGAAAAGACAAGATCCTTCCCCTCAAGTAAATCAAAGCCAGCTGAAGACATATATTATATGAGACAGCGAGACAGTAGCATCTGTGTAGTGAGCTGCAATTTAGGACACAGTAAACCCACACAAGGGGACACCATCCATGATCAGAGCAAGGTGTGGGGGGAGGAGGCTGGGGCACACTTCCTGGGGGTGCAAAAAGCAAGGGGCCTGTGTTCTAGTCCCCCAAATATCAGTGGCTTACTGTGGGCTTGGCAGAACTGAATCCTGTCCCTCTAAGCTGCAGAGAGCTCCAGAGTAGATAGGAAGGGCCAGATGGCCTCCGAGGTCTCTGTGGTCTAACACTACAGGGCCCTATGGGCAAATGCCGAGACCCTGAAAGATGGGAATACGAAAGGCAGGAGGCAGAACAAATGCAAAGCCACATGAGTGAGGGTAGACATCATGTTTTGTGCATGGGCAAGATACATTGAGGGAGAGCAGGGTTGTTTAACAGGACTTAACTACTGCAAAGATTCTGGGGGCAGTAAAGTTGGAGGTGGGGGGAAAACAGAGAGCTAAGTCAGTTAAGAGACACAAAGCTGGATCAAAGTGAAGAAAGAGATACCACCTTTCCTGTGGTCAGAAGTCTGATTTATCACCACACTCCCCACATCACTCTACATTCTTCATGACTTGGTGGAACTGTGTCGCAGGTGCTTCCCCCCAAACCAGACACCAAGTAGAGGAGGACGAGGGTGTGGTTACAGCTGCTCTCTGTTTAGGCCCGTACAAGCAGTCCCCTTTTGTGGGCCAGGAAGCCAAGAGCAGTTGCTGAAAAGATGGTGGTCAATCCGATCAGCCTGAGCAGGCCTGGCACAGAGGGCAAATGTCTCTCCAGGAAGGTCGTGGTAATCGGCCTCACAGGGACATCCTGGGTTCAAAAAACATGAGTTGTCAGTACAGGCCTCGCATGCTTCACCACAGAAAATATGCTTCTCTTTTGTTCTCTGAGCACAACCCACTTTCGCCACCATCCAGGCCATTAAACACAATACTTTCTCTGCTCCTAATACTCCTAATACACCTCCATTCCCTTCTGGGTTTATTTCTTCTTGGGGTAACAATATTTTGCCACACTGTGATTCAGTTACAGGCTCACACCTCCTCAGATGTATGTCAACACACCCACCACAAAGCACCCATAGTCCTCCACTGTAGTCCACTGGGCCACCTCCTCATTTCATTCCCACCTCCTCATTTCCACATCTGATTTCTAGGGTTTGTTATTGATTTTTGGCTTGTTTCTCCCCTCTTCATTAATCCCGCTTCATCCTTCAAGTAATTCCTCACATTCTCCGAGACTTTCCTGTTTCCCAAGCTCAGCTGCCTCTCTCTTTTTATATCCTCAGCATGTCTTCTTCAATGCATGTGTTTTCTGGTTGTCTTTTGTGCTCCCCAAGTGTTGAGCTCCCTGGGAGCACTGCTGGACCCTTATCTGGGGCCAGTGCAGAGTGGAAGCATCATGAACATCTGTCAAGTGAATGACTCTGTGGCCTGTTCAGCCCTCAATCCCTTCTCTGACAGAAGCACTAAGAGAATGACTTTGGAGTGGCACAGCTATTTTTGATTTGACATGTGGCAGAGGAGTAAGGGACCTTTCTGATTCTACCCTCCACAATGAGCTTCACCCTATCCTTCTATCCAGTTAGGGAATCTCACCAGGGTTTTATTACAACATCGGTAGGTATACTGAAAATGAATTTTACATCTGAATCTGCTCTCTTGCATTCCACACTTTTGACACTGCACGGGAGATATTGATTGGATATATGTTCCTTTCATTTCCTATCTTCTCTTGAGAGTCATCAGTTTAGAGATTTACGTATGTAACAGGTGCTCAATGAGTTCTTCATATGTCTAGAACTTGCTGTGAAATGCCTCCGTGAAGGCATCTATTTTTTTAATTTTTTCTAATAATCTGCAATATATTTTGTTGCTACAAATCTATCAAACTTCTTCTAGATCACTCCCCTTTACCTTAGCCCATGGTATCTCATTAAGTATGCATAGCTTAGATCACTTATTAGTGTGCAAATGCAAGCACACATACACAAATGTTTCTATTTGCAAATAATTACTTTCAGAGAAAAGGGATTGACTTTCATAAAATAAAACATTACCTACCACGGACTCTGGTTCTGACTGCCAGATTTCATCCTCTGGGATCTTCCCCATGGCATGCAGGATCTGAAATGAAAGAGCATGTTGGCGAATAACAAAATTGACATTATCATTTTCCTAATTTGCTCTTTATATGAAGGACTAACTAAATGTCCCTTGGGATATCCATCAGCAACATAGAGTAAAAGCCTATGCAGTCCATACACCCTTTAAAAGGCCCCCCAAAGTCTTCTATCTATGATATAAAGAGGAACTAAACATTAGGTTCACCATCAATTTTAGTAGTTGTGAACACACCTTTATAGACATGAGGTCAGAGATAGTGTTGGGAAATGTACAAATAAATTCAGAATCCTGGGGCCCTCCCGGGTGGTGCATCTGTTAAAGTGCAGCTGCTTCAGCTCACTGCCTCTGCTTGAGTTCAATCCCCGCCCCAGAGGTGAGCCACATGGCGCGGCAGACCTCTCCTGACCTGCCCGCTGCTCCCCTCAGCAGTGTACTTCGTTGACCTACTCCCTACCTCTGTCTCTGCTTAATCCTCTCGCTGCCTCTGTACCTCTGGTCTGTACCCCAGTTCTATATGCACAAACAAATCTTTAAAGAAATAAATTCAGAATCCTCATAGAAACATGTTGGATTCTCTAATATTAGACATAGGTGACCTGTCAAGTACAGCCATGGCTATCTTTTGCCCATGGATTTGCTTTTTCTTTCTTTCTTTCTTCTTCTTTTTTTTATTTTTGATGTTTTCATTGTTACTTTTGGGTTAACATGTTCATTTTCACCTGAGGCGATGCTCTCCAGGATTTCAGACACCTTTCCCTGCTTGTGAGGCCCAAGAGTCCCCTGCCTTCCCACAGCCTGTGGCCCCAGCTCCCACCTCTCGCGCTGCTCGCTCCCCAGCCTCCACAGCACCCTCCATGTAGCCGCTCCAGTGTGTGGCTGTCTCAGTGCCAGCAAAATAGATCTTGTCCACTGGCTGACGTAGAACCCTGGAAGCAAAAGCAAAGAGGGAGAAATGGTCAGTTTCTGTAAGCCCCAGAAGAGCCTTTTCACAAAGGCCAAGCCTGGTGGGTTTCTTCAGATTGTCCACCTCAGGAGTACATCAGCAATTTGGGGATGATATTAAGAGGTCTTCCAGCTCTTGCATCTACCTTATCATAGACACTGTGGGATAAAAGCCAATGTCTACTCTTGTCTCAAGAGCTTACTGGTAAGGGGAAGGATGTCTTTGGAGGTAAAATATGCACTTTTTTCACCTGCATGAAGTGAGGGATTGTATGAGCCTAGTCACATGCAGCTTCTTTTACGGCTCACCAGCTCTGAGCAAGGTAACATGTGCCCTGTCGTCCACTTTACTACGCTACCAATGAGCTTGGCAAATCCATTCCTCTCCCTAATCTCTGTTTACTCATCTCTTAACAGGCACAGTTTGAGGATTTTTAAGACCTTTTCCACCAGTAAAGGTAATGAGCCTGTGAGGGTGACTATGGCTCCCAAACTATCATTCATTGAGCATTTCTAACAGTTAAGAGTTTTATTACATCCAATTAGAACAATACACATTGCTGGATGCAAAGTATTTTTTTCAAGTGCATTACTCCTTACCACAGCTCTGTCATACTGTTACTATTCCTATTTTGCAGACGAGAATATGGAGGTACAGAGACTGTGGTGGACACTGTGATATACCATCCAGACCTCCCTTCAAGAATGAAACATTCCCACTTGCTGGTATACTGCGGAAAGACGGCATTCTCATGTCAGCCACCTTGGTGGGCTGCTACTGCTAAAGGAAATTGCCTAACTCAAGATTATGCCTCCTTCCAGCAGCAGCTGCATCTAGTAACTAATCATCATGGTGTTACAAGGAACACCTGATCCTTTCACCCCAACTTGGGATGACTCTTAAGAGCCACCCTAGCTCCAAAGCTCCCAGTGTGGTCACCAATGGTCATCACTGGAACTATTGATACACCTCAGCCCAGCTTATCCTGCTGCCCACTCCTACTTCCTTCCTCTGTCCCCATAGGTGTTGATAGCAAGAGCTCTTACATGTATATCTCCTGTCTGCTAATCTTTACTTTGAAGTCTTCTTGCTGGGGAATGCTATAAGCAACAAAGTTAGAGTAATTTGCTTAAGGTCAAAGCTAGTAAGTAGCACAGCTGTTATCTGTACTGAAGCCCTGTGATTTGAGAGTCTGCAGTCTTAACCATTTGTTTATATGGCCTTCCTCTATGGAATGGCCTCTCTAATCATCTTTATAAATGGTGTCATAGGGGTTAAAGACAGTGCTAGCAAGCCATTGCCAGCTGCTGCAGCCCAAGTTCAATCCCCAGCCAGGGAGCTACCCACATGGCACAGACCATTCCTGTTTCCCTCGCTGCTTCCTTCAGCAGTGTATTTCAGTACATCTGCCTGTTCTCTACCCCACTGTCTCTGGTGAATCCTTTCACCACCACACCTCTGATTTTACCACAAATTTCCCATAGTATCATCATCACAAGCTAGCAAAATGCCCAGGCGCTACACAAAGAGACAACAATGTCACAGCACTGACTTCTAAGGGGGACAGCTGGTCATCATCTGGACAAAAATAACACAAGGGAAGCTTGGCCAACTTTTGATATTCATCTTGTCCCAGGTTTCCAGGGTGTGAGGTAAGGAAGGTGATGTCCAGAGCTGACACCTGTGCTCTATTTTAGTTACCACTGTACACTGTGGGGCCTTTTATCAGAGAACCAATTAGACTTGGTTGCTTTGGTGGATTTCCCTTCACTTACAGATATCAAGGAAGAAAAGTAGAAAATTGAAGAGAGGATATTAGATCAGTGATAATAACACAGACTAATTACCCACTGTCAGCTGGACTGGAAAGCATGAAACTAATGCAGAAGGGTGGGTGCCTTGTGAGAGAAGCTACACTGGCTTGGCTTTCTGCATGTCCACTCAACAACACTGATCTTCACCAAAAGTTCACTTTTATTTATTTATTTTCAAACAGAGGGAACTAAGCTCAAATCGGAAACCTCTGACCCACCCTAAAATTAAATACTAGATGAGAGAACAAAGGCTTAGAGAACTCATCATAGGATTAGGATACTAAAACCAAGAATTCATTTCAAACAGAGATGGTTTTCACCCTATTTGTCATGTGGAAATCTTTCCCTTTGGGGGAAAAATAATTGAATGGCTAGAGAAGAAAGAAGCCTCTCCTTTCTTTTACAGGTGAGAGGACAGTATATATTCGCAAGAGGGCTCCATGTATCTTTCTTATGGTTTCATGGAGTTTCCTTGTACATGTTACTGCTTCGTCTGCCATCCATTTTTCAACCTATCCAGAAGTTCCTTAAGATGCATGTTCATTTCTTTACTAAAGTCATGCTGTCGGTATTATCTTCTGTCTTCCATCTGGAAATAGAACATTTTCTGTGTACTTTCAAGACTATGAAGATAAAATTCTTGTAGTTTCCCAACTGTCACAGACCCGCAGGTAGGTGGTGTTGCTCAGACTGGCGTCTGGTCACTGAGGTGTGCTGACCCTATGAAGCCTGGTGCATCTCACCGGGAAGGAGTAAAGATAAAAGGGTGTTTTCAGGTCACTAGCAATGTGGGGTTTATCTTGAGTTTCGCATGTGGTCACAGTCAGACCAGTGCACAAAAGAGTCCTTCTCCCACCCGCCAACACCCCGAAGGTGTTTTGCCTTTGGGGTTTCCTCATGGGATTGAGCTGGAGCTTATTATATCACTCCATCAGAAATCGAATTATGCCATAAAACCAAAACCAAAAGTAATACTCGGATTGGCTTTTTTCTGTTGAAAGTTTAAATTTTGTATTCCTGAAAGTGTTATAAAAGGTTAAAGGAGCCTATTCACAGTTCTGATTCTCCATTCAGTCCTCACTTTTACCCACAACCCAGCCAGGCAGCACTTTCAAACAGATATTCCATGAACTTGTAGGATTTCAAGCACTTGCTCACACTGTCCCATCTGCCTAGAATGCATTCCCCAAAGGCCTACTCAGTCTCAGTCTTCTCAATCCTCAGGAGTGTATGTATCATGAATCATCCTCAGGCTTCTCTAGTTAAGGCTAACCTGAGTCCCTAAGATAATTTCATGGCCCTCTATCAGAGTACTTACCACAGTGTGTTAAAGCTTTTGATGTGCTTCTCCTCTCCCCACCCCCACCCGTCAACACTGCCAGCCCCTTTAAAGCAGGAGGGCTTTTCTTGCTATTGAAGTTTTCAGCACAGTGTCCTGCAAATGGCTAGCATCCATCAAATAAGTACTGAATGAAACAGTGATACTTACATATTCTATACTCAGCATATCCAAATACTAAATAAAGTGCCCAGTAGCTAATCATTCTGATCCCAGAATGTTCTCATAGAAGATTCTTTGCCATCTTGAAGAAAGTGCTAACCAAAGTCACTATGTATTCTGGTCCCAGAATGTTCTCGTACAAGATTCTTTGCCATCTTGAAG